CCACGAAGCGCTGTAGTGGGTGGGTGAAAATGCAAAATTAGGTTTTCGGGACGCATGCGGACGGCGGCACTGGGGCCTTCGGCGGGGCCCCCTATGGGGCCACGAAGCGCTGTACTGGGCGGGTGCAAATGCCAAATTAGATTTCGGGACGCATGCGGACGGTCCTACTGGTAGTTTCGGTAGTTCCCTATGGGGCCACGACACGCTGTACTGGGTGGGCGAAACTGCCAAATGGTGCTTTCGGGATGCATGCGGACGGTCCCACTGTGGCCGTCGTTTGGGCTCCCTATGGGGCCAGGAAGAGCTGTACTGGGTGTGCGGCACGCATGCGGACGGTAGCACTGCGACCTTCGTTGGGCTCCCTATGGGGCCACGAAGCGCTGGACTGGGTGGGGGGACGCATGCGGACGGTAGCAGTGGGACCTTTGGTTGGACCTTCGGTGGGGCTCCCTACGGGGCCACGCAACGCTGTATTGGGTGGGTCGAACGCAGGGAGGAGGGAGGAGGGAGCCACGAAATGCTGTACTGAGTGGGGGGGACGCATGCGGACAGTAGCACTGGGACCTTCGGTGGGGCTCCGTATGGGGCCACGACACGCTGTACTGGGTGGGTGGAACGCAAAGAGAGAAGGAGGAGGGACGAGGAGGGAGGAGGGGAGGAGGAGAGGAGAGGAGGGGAACGCGGGGCACCGTCTCTTCAAAACGAGGGCCCAACACCACAGGATGGTAGGGGAAACACATGTTCGCAGGTGTGGTCTCCAAACAGCAGAACTGGTACCAGATAGATTGAACCACATAGCGCACGCAACATGGATTATAAATAAAGATTGCGCCCCCATAGCTTACACCGCAAAGCTCACAGATCATAGCTCACACCAGATAGGTTGCACCACACAGCTCAAACCACATAGCTCAAACCATATAGATTACACGGCATAGCTCGCAACACATAACTATCTGGATGAGCACGTCGGCTCCGCATAGTTTGCACCAGAGAGCTTACACCAAATAGCTCACACCACATAGATTGCACCACGTAGGTTGCACCACACATCTTTCACCCTATAGCTTGCACCTCATAGTTTGCACTACGAGATTGCATCACCTTGAAACCACTGGTTGGAGCCCGTGCTGGCGAACACCGTGTTTCTCCATGAATCATTATGCCATTCGCTTGCTCCTCCGTATTAAAGCGGAAGACAGCTCGATGTCTTGCAGCGTCTGTCGATCGGCTGGGTAGGGAACCGCACAAGTCGCATGCGTAGTGCTGGGCGCGTCAAAGTCGCTGGAGTCGTTGGATTGGTTGCAGCAGACGTCGCGGTTGTGTTGATTGATTATTGTTGGGGTGCGTGCTGTGGGAGACTGTCATGTGCGCCGTTTTGGTGTTCCGATGGTCATCCGCAGCATTCGCCGTGGTGATCGGCCCAGCTGTTGCCTCAGAGGCTCTGGTAGAGCCCACGGTCTTGCGCAGTAGATCACAGCAGGTACGGCAGTGCCGCGGTAAAGTCGCAGCCAGTGACATCTTGCTGGTTGATTTGGTAGACGCTTGCTCGTGAGCTCTTGTCTGTGGCCTGTGAGGC